TCAGACAGTTGTGCCCTATTTTATATCCTTTTTTTGCCACTGCCATTAAGTGAGACACGTGGTCGTGAAGCAAGTCCACCTTACCCCATTGACTGCTTGCCAGGCGGTCGCAAAAGGGGATCACGTGACCCTGGGACACTGCGACCGTCATAAATATGAGTCAGTTGCCAAACATCCGAATTTTGATCACGTGGCCCTGGAGATGCTGCAACGGCCGTAAGTGTGAAAAACGGTCATAAGTCGCTTTTTTCAGTGCCGTTGTAGCTCTGAACAAGTCACTAAACGATCTTTTGTAAATTGAGGACAATACGAATGCAGACTAATCCTCGGAAATGGCTCTTCCGTTTTGTTGTAGAGTTACGCCCAGCCAAGTCTTCAGTACATCCAAGGACAACAGATTTACACCACTCACCCTCCGAGCGTGGTGGTGCAACCCACAACGGCCGTCGCCACTATCGTCACCACCGGACAGCCCCCGCCGATCCAACAGGTAGAGAGGCGGGAGGGAGCTTGTTCCTTTCATGTCGTGGTGGTGCCATCATACTTGTGAAATGGTTTTGCAGGAGCCCATCTGAATAAAAAGGACTCTTTGGTCCTCGTTTAACAACGGTAACAACGGGTCTGGAAATTGCGTCATTCCTAAGTTGAAAAACCACGTGAGCTCCCCACCTATCGGGAGGACGCTTTCATCAGTCTCGGGGGGCTGTTGTTAAGCGAGGACTTTGTGGGCTATTAAATGAGGACCTCACGTGACAGGAAATTCCGATTCCCTGCTGGCTTCCCCATTGACCTCGCCTAATGGAAACCAGCAGGAAAAGTCACGAGTGACCCCGGAGATGCTGGGATGGCTGGAAGTATGAGGTCGGGTCGTTAAGTAGCATGGTTCAGCACTGTCGTTAAGTCCAAATGGGCGCCGAATGAGTAGTTGTTAGAGGAGAGTCCTTTTACAGCGATATTTCTGAACTTGATTGCTTGGAAGATTCGTGCATGGTTTGGCTGTGGAATTCTGGGAATTGAAGTCCACCTTATCTTCAAGGGGCCAAGCTTGAAAACACTCCCCTTAATAGTGCGTGTTTCGCATTACACTTCCCATCAGGGCAAATATTCCTAAAAAGAATCCTGTCCTTTTCCAAGGTGGGTCAAAGGAGGAGCCAGATTGTTGGGGGCAAGAGGCTGACTCTGTAAAACCGCTCAGAGAGGGCTGTAAAAGCACCGTGCAAAGCGGCATACAAGTCTTCATTGATGCTGCTATAAAAGCAGGCTACAAATATTGGAAGTTTTTGAAGAGGATTGCTTTGCAGATCCGATCTCTCTTCTTTTCTCACCTCTCTTCCCTCCTCCTCCTCCTCCTCCTCCTTTTCAGCCAGAACTGGTGGTGGCCAACAACCTACTGGACCTGCCTCCTCCGTCTCCTCCCAAGCCCAAAACCATCGTCCTGCCCCCCAACTGGAAAACGGCCCGTGATCCGGAGGGCAAGATCTACTACTACCACGTGGTCACCAGGTAAGGCCGGCCTCCGCTCAGGAAAGAAAGAAGGCCTGTGGACATTCGCCACGTGGCAGGGCCTGTTCCTGGAAACCCCAACCGGCACCAGCGGTCTGGGGGGCGTTTTTTTTTGGGGGGGAGGGGAATCCAGGACTGACACCCCCGCTTTGTGCAGGCAAACCCAATGGGACCCTCCCAACTGGGACAGCCCAGAAGATGATGCCGGCCTGGAGCACGAAGCCGAAATGGACCTTGGCACACCGACGTACGACGAAAACCCCATGAAAGTGAGTTGGAGGGAAGCTCCCCCTGACGGGCATAGCGCGGGGTCTCTAACCCAAGCCGTTCCCCAGTTACGGCCCGGATGGCTTAGCGGCCGCTCGAATGCGTAACGGGCCCGAAATAGGGGACGCCTGACCCAGATTCGAAGTTAGCCCTTGACCAGAAATGGAGAAGCTGCAGGTGTTGGCAAGGTTTTTATTTATTAAAAAAAAAACCATAATGAAAGCAAATTAATGCATTGTTTTAATTTAATAAAATAGTTATTTTTTTAAAAAATAAAAATAAGCAGGAAATAAGTCAGCTGGCAAACTACAGATAGTACTCAGATTTACGAAGGATTCCCCCCCTCCAAAAGAGAATTTCCAATTCTGAAGTCCTCCCCACCCACCCACCAGTGTTCTGCCATCGTGGAACCTGATTTTTGTGACATTTTTCTCTCCCCCCACCCCACCCCCGAAGGATTTGCATCCTTCCTGAGCAAAATTGGATTGCTGTTTGGTTGACCTGTTTTATATGACCATCGGGGGACCTGTGGCTATAATGGGGAGGCTCCATTATGGTCGTAAGTTGAGGACTACCCTCTAATGGTAGACTCTCTGTGCATTCCATAGCTAATTATTCGGGTAATATAACTACTTGAGTTATAGGCAGGTTAATTAGCCCGGTCATAAGCTCAAGGAGAGATTCCCAGTTGTTGCCATTATAAGTCAAGACGTTGCAATGGGTTTTTACGACGGTTGTTGAGCAAATGAGGCGGCTGTTCAGCGAAGCACTGCCATTGCTAAGCAGACTGCGTTTGTTAAGCGAAACTGGTTTTCCCAACGGGCTTTTTCCTTTTGCCGGAAACCAGAAGTAAACAGTGGCAAAAAAAAGGGAAAAATCGCGAATCACGGTTCGTGTGACTGCAGGTCCACCCCAAACTGCCCGTCAGAGTCAGCCCCCAAAACACAGCCATTGTAAGGTGTCTGTGCGTGGGTTGAAAAATGAGTCGCACAAAGGCCTTGGGGGGTATTGTCATAACTTCATATGGCTGTTAAGCAGGCCCATCATAACCTGAGGACTCTCAGTAATCTCGTAGAAAAAAGATATAATCCCCGAACTCCTCAGATAAATCCTGAAAGATGCTCTCCATGCCAGGGGTCTCCAACTTGGGCAGTTTTAATTCTGGTGGGCTTCAACTCCCAGAATCCCCCAGCCCAGCAAGGTTTGGCGGGGGAATTCTGGAGGGTTGAAGTTCACCGGTCTTGAAGATGTCATGGCTGGACAGCCGCTGCTTGCCATTAAACTTCAGCCATGGGATCAGAACGTTCTTTCTTCCCATCATCAGCACTGATGATGTTACCCGGCTGGATCACGAGACGTCTCCGCTCGGAGAGTAACCAGGATCCAGCTGCCAAAATAACGTTCTGTGGCTCTAAATTTCCCCCTAGGTTTTGTCACAGAATCCTCCCCTGCCTTGCTTCCAGTCACACTTGCTCTGAAGTTGTTGTTGTTGTTGTTGCCAGAGGCAGGGGAGAAAACGGAAAATGCAAACAAGAGAATAAGCAGTGAAGTAACTCTTGACAGGGGAGCAAAAAAGGGTTAAAGGAACAAATCCCGGAGCAAACGATTATAAATTTCTGGCTTCTCATTGGGGGAAGAAACCCTTTCCTTACTTGCAAAATGCAAGGTTTTTTTTCCTGTAATAATTCTGTTTGTGTCGGCCTTTTTCCAGTCTTCCAAAAAGCCCAAAACTGCTGAAGCAGACACTTCCAGTGAACTGGCCAAGAAGAGCAAAGAGGTCTTCCGGAAAGAGGCGAGTTTGCTTTCAGTTTCAATATTTCGTTTTGTTTTGTTTTGGTTTTGATTTTACTTATGTCCCGCCTTTAGTATTTTTATCAATAACTGAAGGTGGCCAGAAGAGGACCTAAAGCACCTCCCTCCCTCCTCCTACATTTTCCCCACAACAACAACCCTGTGGGGTGGGCTGGGCTAAAAGTAACCCAGTCAGCTGTCCCTCCTAAGGCGGGACTAGAACTCCTTGTCTCCTGGTGATCGGCCCAAAGTCCAGCTGCCTTTCATGCCTAAGGCGGGACTAGAACTCCCTGTCTCCTGGGGATTGGCCCAAAGTCACCCAGCTGTCTTTCATGCCTGAGGCGGGACTAGAACTCCTTGTCTCCTGGGGATTGGCCCAAAGTCACCCAGCTGCCTTTCATGCCTAAGGCGGGACTAGAACTCCCCGACTCCTGGTGATTGGCCCAAAGTCACCCAGCTGTCTTTCATGCCTGAGGCGGGACTAGAACTCCTTGTCTCCTGGGGATTGGCCCAAAGTCACCCAGCTGCCTTTCATGCCTAAGGCGGGGCTAGAACTCCCCGTCTCCTGGGGATTGGCCCAAAGTCACCCAACCGCTTCCAGGCTTAAAGGGGGGGCTAGAACTATGACCAACTGAACAAGTGCAGTGATTCGCTTTACAACTCTAGCAAGCAAGGCGGTAAAAGGGGACAAAACTCACTTCACAAATGTTTCCACTTAGCAACATAAACTTTGGTCCCCTTAGTGGTCCTAACTCGAGGACTGCCTGTGTATTTTCCAACCGGCAGGGTCTCATAATGGCTTTTCTTTGTGTCCCCCCACTCCCCCCCAGATGTCCCAGTTTATCGTGCAATGCCTGAACCCCTATCGCAAACCTGACTGCAAAGTGGGGCGCATCACCACAACAGAAGACTTCAAGCACCTGGCACGCAAGGTGAGCAGCCCCCTCCCCTCGGGACCCTCCAAGGCAAGCAGGCCTCATGGTCCCTGCCAGGTGATACCTTGGAGGAGGGAGTCAGACTCCCAGGCCCAGGTTTTCTCTCTCTCTCTCTCTCTCTCTTTTCTTCCTTTCTTTTTTTATTTCCTTCCTTCCTTCCTTTTTTCTCTCTCTCTCTCTCTCTCGTTCTTTCCTTCCTCTCTTTCTTTTTTCTTTTTTTTTCTTCCTTACTTCCTTTTTCTTATTGCTTTATTTCCTTCCTTTGTTCCTTCTTTCTTTCCTTTCCTTTTTCCTTTCTTAATTTTTCTTTTTTGTTTTCCTTCTTAACTTTTTCCCTCTCCCTTTTTTCTCCCTTCCTTCTTCTTTTCCTCTTTCTTCTATTCCTCCTCCTCTTCCTTCCGCGATTTATAGAACCCTGAGGTTGTGATGAGCCATCCAAGCGGAAGCTTAGAGATGCACCTCAGTGGCCAGCCTGCCAGGAAGATGCACCTGCCCCGCTACATTCATGTGGAGCGGGGTTCAAATTCTGCCTCAGGAGGACTAGGACAGTCTCTCGGGTGAAATAAACCCAAGGCTGAGGAAGGAAGGAAAAGGAGAAGGAGAGGAAGGAAGGACTTCCTCTTCCTCTCCTCAACCCCCACCCACCCACCTCCCCTTTTAGCACTGATGATGTTACCTAGCTGGGTCATGAAATGTGAGCACCCAGGACCCCAGAGTTGAGCCACAAATATAATATTCTGTGGGTCTCTCCTCCTCCCAGCTCACCCATGGCGTGATGAACAAGGAGCTGAAATACTGCAAGACGCCGGAAGACCTGGAATGCAACGAGAACGTCAAGCACAAAACGAAGGAATACATCAAGAAATACATGCAGAAATTCGGCACCGTGTACAAACCCAAAGAAGACACCGACATGGAGTAGGAGGGTGTATATATATATATTGACCCTCTGCTTTTCCTGGGCAGAGTTCACACTGTTACGGAATACACAAAACACACACACACACACGTTTCGGCCGACACAAACGTCTCCTTTCCAAGCTGGATCCGGAGACGAGAGTAGCAGCAGAAAGTGGGGCGTTCAAATGGTTTGCACGCCCCCCCCCCGGCTCACAAGCACCTCACTTTGCAAGAGCCCCCCAAAACTGACCACGGGGCGGTGCTTCCCTTGCGCAACGCAACGCGCGAGTCCACTCCCCCTTTCCCCACGGAGACCTGTATAATATTCTTATGTGAATATATTGAATTTATTTTTTGTCCTTTCTTTTGTTCGGCCCGGCCTCTTTTTTGCATCCCAACACCTGTTGATATCATGGGAACACTTTGTAAGAATAGTTTTGTTAAAAAACAAAAAGGAAAAAAAAAAAGAGGAGGGATTGTTTATTATTATTATTTTTCTTCTTCTTCTTCTTCTTCCACTTTTTTTCCCCTCTTTTTCCGGTGTTTTGTTTTTCCCCACATTGTTCTCTGCAGAGGTTTCACCTGTTATCATGTAAATATTTGCAAAGAGGCCGGCTCAAGGTTTGGAGCAGGCCGTGCTGCCTGTTGATAAGACTGATTTACTGCTTTCAAATCATTTTACTTTCTCCAATTTTTACGGAAGTTTCTATGTAAAATGAAAAAAAAAAATTAAAAAATTAAAAGAAAATGGTAATAAAGGAATGTGGGAAAAATGGATTTATTTATTTATTTTTTCGCCCTTGCGGGGAGTCAAGGTAAAGTTTTACAGACGAAACAGAAAAAGTAAATAAGTCAGAACAGAAGTAGGGAAAGAAAAGGTTCTACAACAGGCAGTCCTCGACTTGTGACCGGTTGCCTAAAGTTGTGATGGATTACCCGGAGGGCACCTATCCCCTGGATTCGAGGGTAGCACGAATTGGGCACTCAGCAACACAGCCCTGTTTTACGACGAGGGTTTTCAGGCCGGCCTGCCTGCGGTGCCCAGAGTGGCCTGCAGGTAGCAGAGCTGCCTTGCCTCGAATGAGGCCCTGGCCAAGGGGGGGCCTCTGGCGGAGCGAGGGGTTCCCCCCCCCGGCGCCCTCCAGGTTGTCCTTCCCAGGGTTCCCCGCTTGCACCCCACCCGCTCCGAAGGGGGGACCTCGGGGGCGGCCTTGGTTTCCTCAGAGGAGGTTGGCCCGCAGGCCGAAGGAGGACACAGAGACCCCTTGGGACCCCCTTGGACCAGAGCCCACCCTTTCCCGCCCCTTGGAAGGGGGAGGCCCCCCCGGGGCAGAGTCCCTCTGGAACTTCAATTCCCAGAATTCCCCAGCCAGTCAGGGCGGATGGGAAATTCGGAGAGCTGATCGGTCAAGGGGCCCAGGGGATCCCTTCGCTCGTGGGGGGTGGGGGTGGGCGTGCCCCCATTGCTTCAGAAAACTTCCGGGTGCTCCACGGGCTCCTGCTCCTCCGGTGCCTCCTTTCGCCCAAGTGGCCTCCCACCTTCCCCTGCCTCCTTTCTAGCCCTGATGACGTTAATCAGCTGGGTCGTTAAACGTCTGCAAACAGCCAAGCACAGAGCACCAAGCAGCAGAGTCCTGTCTTCTTTGTTCTTCCTCTTCCTCCTCCTTTCTTCTTTTTCATCTTCCTTGTTCTTCCTCTTCCTCCTCCTCCTCTGCAACCCCCCTCCCCGCTAGCACCGATGGATGTTCCCTGGTTGTGTCTTGGACATATGCCAGGAAACCGCCAAGCTCAGAGAGCACCAAGGAGCCCACCACGTTTTTTTTCCTCCTCCTCCTCCTCCTCCTCCTCTCTCCTATCTCCTATCTCCTCCCCAGCCGGCTCTCAGCAAGACCAGATGCTTCTCCTCTTTGATGCTCAAGGCCACTGGGCTTTCTCAGCAGCTGGCGCCCCTGGAAGGAGACGTGTGCACCATTGCACCATTGCCAGCCCTGGCAGCTGCGCGATCAGGGCTTCCCCTCGAGATTTTCAGGGAGGCGCTATCTCGTCCCAACCGGGGCTTGTTCTTCGGCAGGACCCGGGCGGCGTTTTCACCGGGCAATTAAAAGCCCACGAGGGAGGAGGCCACCGTTGGCATCCAAATATTCCTTTCTCGGGTACCGCAGGATGCCTCCCTCGCAGCCCCATTGGCACCGTGCCCGTCCTTGGGGTAACTTGGGGGCCCCTGCACCCCCAGCCTCCCACAAGAAATCCTGCTAGCGCCCTGTTGCAAACCTTAAAAAAGAAAAAAATACAGCTAAGTAGGTAGGAACCAGAATTTCCATCGCTAAGCAAGCGGGGTTCGGTCAGCCCTGCCTGATTTTATGACCTATACTTTTGGCGTGGCTGTTAAGCGAATCTCCCTTCTTTGCTTGTCCGAAGCCAGCTGGGATAGTTGCAAGAGGGAGGAAAGGAAGGAAGGAAGGAAGGAAGGAAGGAAGGAAGGAAGGAAGGAAGGAAGGAAGGAAGGAAGAAGCGGGAGAGAAGAGAGGAAAGAAGGGATTGTGGGACTGAGGGAGGGAGGGAAGACCCCCCCCAAAAAAAGGAGGGAAGGAGGTATCAGGATGAACGAAGAAAGGGAGGAGAGGGAAGGAGGGAAAGATAAAGGAACATCTGTGGAACATCTGGAAAATATTGGCAAGCCTCCCGGAGAGTTCAGCTTAGCAGTTTTAATTTTTTAACAGCCCGCCAAAGTTCCCCCACCCCGTTGGTATCTGGCTCACCCCGAGATTCTTCCCAGCTCTCCTGCCTCCCCAGAAAGCAGATCGCGCCCAACTGCAGCCACAAATTCCTGCAACTGTCTCTGTAAGCAGGGCGGAAGCTTCCACTGCCTGTTCCTGGGCTCCATCTTTGACTTTTTTGACCTCTATGTGTAGTTCCGGCAGTTCCATCAGCTCTCAGATTTGGAGATATCCCAGGAAAAAGGTATTTCTTCTACCTGGCTTGTTCAACCGGAAGAGCTTAAAGTTGATGTCAACCTTGCCATGTTATCTAATTCTTAGGTAGTCCTCAATTTATGAACACAACGGAGCCCGAAATTTCTCTGGCAATCAGAAGTTTGCTTCCTTTCTTCCCTTCCCTTCACACCTCCTTCTCTCTCTCATACTTTCTT